TTAACACTTTGTCTTCTTGAGCCACCCTTTGAAATCTTTTGTTCATCTTTTACTTCATCGTTTCTTCCCTTTGCTTTAGCTAGTCTATGTTCAAGAGCAAGTTTCAGAGTCTCTACTGACATCCATTTTGGTCTTTTCTTTCTTTCCTATGTTTTAATAACCTTTTGCTTTCTTCATATATGATGTCTTTGATGTCATCCCAGAACTGGTCTGATCTTTGGTCATTAGTGTTCCATGTGTCAAATCTATTCTTGAGATGGTCTGTAATGTCAGGTGAGATATACTCAAGGTTGTACTTTGGCTCTCTTAGGCTTGTTTTAACTTTCTTCAGCTTCAACTTGAACTTTCATATGAGCAACTGATGATCTGTTTTTGCAGTTGGCCCCTGACCTTGTTCTGACTGATTATACTGAGTTTCTCCATTGTCTCTTTCCACAGATGGAAAGTCCACAGTCTATTCGATTCCATAGTCTATTTGATTCCTGTGTATTCCATCTGGCTAGGTCCACGTGCATTGTCACCATTTATGTTGTTGAAAAATAGGTTTTTCCAATGAATAGGTCTTTGGTCTTGCAAAATTCTATCATGAGATCCTTGGTGTCATTTCTATCACCAATGCCATATTTTCCAACTTCTGATCTTTCTTCTTTATTTCTAACTTTTGCATCTTAATTAAATGATCAGTTTCAGACTACAGAAGTTGGTAAAAATCTTCCATTTTTTCATTTTTGGTGTTGGTGGTTGGTGTGTAAATTTGAATAATATTCATATTAACTGGTCTTCCTTACATGCATATTATCCTTTCACTGACATCCTTGTACTTCAGGATAGATACTGAAATGTTCTTTTTGACAATGAATACGAATCTGTTCCTCTTCAAGTTCTCATTCCCAGCATAGTAGACGATATGTTTGTTCTATTCAAAATGGCCAATACCATTCCATTTCAGCTCCCTAATGCCTAGGATATTGATCTTCAAACATTCCATTTTATTACTGACAATCTCCAATTTTCCTAGATTCATACTTCGTGCATTCCATGTTCCTATTACTAATGGATGTTTGCAGCTGTTTCTTCTCATTTTGAGTCATGCTACATCAGCAAATGAAGGTCCTGAAAGCTGTATTCCATCTATGTTATTAAGGTCGACTCTACTTTGAGGAGACAGCTCTTCCCCAGTCATTTTTTTTAATTGTACTTTAGATGAAGTTTTACAGAACAAACTAGCTTCTCATTAAATAATTAGTACACATATTGTTTTGTGACATTGATTGCCAACCCAATGACATGTCAACACTCTCCCCTTCTTGACCTTGGGTTCCCTATTACCAGCTTTCCTGTCCCCTCCTGGCTTCTAGTCCTTGCCCTGGGCTGGTGTGCACATTTAGTCTTGTTTTGTTTTATGGGCCTGTCTAATCTTTGGATGAAGGGTGAACCTCAGGAGTGACTTCATTACTGACCTAAAAAGTGTACAGAGGCTATACTCACAGAGTTGCTCCAGTCTCTGTCAGACCAGTAAGTCTGGTCTTTTTTATTTATTTATTTATTATTTTTGAGTTAGAATTTTGTTCTACATTTTTCTTCAGCTCTGTCCGGGACCCTCTATTGTGATTTCTGTCAGAGCAGTTGGTGCCAGGCACCATCTAGTTGTGCTGGACTCAGACTGGTAGAGGCTGTAGTACTTGTCATCCATTAGTCTGTTGGACTATATGTTTCCCTTGTCTTTGGTTTTCTTCATTCTCCCTTGCTCCAGACAGGCTGAGACCAGTGGAGTATCTTAGATGGCTGCTCACAGGCTTTTAAGACCCCAGATGCTACTCAACAAAGTAGAATGTAGAACATTTGGGCTAGATGTTCCCCAAGACCATGGTCCCCACAGCCCTCAGCCCAGTAATTCGGTCCCTCAGGGAGTTTGAATGTGTCTATGGAGCTTCCATAACCTTGCCTTGGACAAGTTGTGCTGTCATTTTTTGAGTGTCTTTCAACCTGAGGGCTTATCTTCTGGCACTATAGCAGACAATGCTCCATTGCTATTCATAAGGTTTTCACTGGCCAGTTTTTTCAGAAGTAGATAGCCAGCTCCTTTTTCCTAGTCTCTCTTGGTCCTGAAGTTCTGCTGAAACTTGTCTACCATGGGTATCCCTGCTGGTATTTGAAATACCAGTAGCACAGCTTCCAGCATCACAGCAACATGCAAGCCACCACAGTATGACAAAGTGGCAGATGTGTGGTGTCTGTGTTGCAGACAATAATTAAAAGTATTTTCTTTCTTCACACCACCAATATCTTTTTGTATGTGGCTTTCAGAATAGCATGTATTGCCTGTAGCACATATTCTATTAAACATCAGTAATTATCAAAGGAGTAGTGGCAATTACTTGCTTTCACAGAAAAATTCAATATTGCCCTTAGTTTATGGCTAAATTATTATAATAATGTAATACATGTACACACAGATATTGTGGACAAAGTATGTCTGTAAGTCAGCTATTCATAGTTCCATTAGTATGTGTGACTTTCACATTGGGCTATATTTATATGTAAATATATCTCCATGAACCTTTCCCTAAGATATTATAATGCAAAAGACATTGTTTTTCATATAAATTAAGCAGTAGTAAAATATTCTATATTTATAAGTTTAGCTTTTGGCTAAGATTTAAATTCAGAGAACAGATACCAGGTCCTTATAGGGAAAAAAAATGTCAACAAGTTTGACTTCTCTTACCGTTAGTTATGGGTTCTTAGATTTTTCATTTAACCTTTTCTGGCCTTGAAAATTGTTTTCTTTCTCCTTCAAAATGTTTTATATTCAAAACTCAAATTTAATGTGTAAATTCCACATACGGTTTTTGAGAACCAAGTAATCATCCTGCACTGTGTACAACATCAGGGAGATGACCATGACCAAAACACTTCCCAACCAACAAGATACAGATTGTTTGGTGGGGAAACAATCAAACAACTAGTTTGTCCAATGCATTATGATGAGCGTTACTGTCAACAAGAAGATGGAATAAAGCGGGGACTCAGAGAATCTCACCCAAACTTAAAGGCTTCGTTAGGATGTACGTAGACTGTATTTGGAAGGGCAAGGACATGCCAAGCAGAAGGAAAACTGTGAGAAAATATGTCTCCGTAGGATTTAGCACGCCTAAGGACAATAATGAGTCAGAATCAACTTCATAGCAATGGGTTTGGTTTTGTTGGTTAAGGACAAAAATGTACCACCATTTATTTAGCCAATCGCTTTTTGTAAGACATTAAGTTGTTTTGAGTTTGTTGCTGTTGATATTAAAATAGTAATATATTAAAAGTTCTTTAAATAAACCTTTGACAATATTTATAATTATTTTCTCTGTGTGGAAACCTAAGACTGGATTGCAGAATCAAGATGAGAAAAATTTGTGTCTTCCAGAAGAATTGTGCCAATTGCATTCCCCCCAATAGCATATGATAGGATCCACATCACCAAAATGTTGCTTTCATTGAATATTATAATTTTATTCCTGGGTTTACTGGGAATATAATGGACTTTGACTTTAAATTACCCTAGATTCACATCCAAGTCATACAATATAGTATTTGAATAAGCTTGAGAACTCTGACTTCATATTCCTCATCCTTAAAACAGGAAAAACAACACTTCCCTCACAAGGTTAATAAAAAGATTAAATAGCCTAAAGTATGTAAACTTACTACCATAAAGAAAGCATCAAATAAATACTTCCTGCTTTGTGCGAGATTGAAATTAAAGATATACAATAAAGTATGATAGAAGAGTGATTTTAAAATGATTATTTTTGAGTTTGTGCTACTGATTGTGATTGCCATGTTACCTATCTGTTGCTAACAAAATTGATATAGGGCCTTTGTAAATAAGGGATAATAAATCAAAAAGTATAAAAGTTAAAGAATTGAAATTGATAATGTATGAAGGTATATTAAATTCTAAGAAGTTAGTAATAGGAGCAATAATCAGTAAAGATACTAGAAACATTTTAGCTACCACTAATTGAGGATTGGAGCCCTGGTGGCACGTTGGTTAAGAGTTCGGCTGCTAATGAAAAGGTCGGCAGCTCTAATCCACCAGCTGCTCCTTGGAAACCATATGGAGCTGTTCTACTCTGTCCTGCAGGGTCCCTATGAGTCAGAATGAACTCAACAGCAACAGGTAAAATTGAGAATTATGTGTGTGTGTGTTTTCAGAAAAGTCACTTAATCCTTTCAAATATTTATGAAGTCGAGATATTGAGGTTATGTTATTGGTCTATGACATAGATCTGTAGTTAAGTAAGAATAAAAACCATGTCTGTCTTCACAATTAGATTTTTCCAACAAAATGATATAATGTATTATCTTTGTTAGAGAGTTCTGGTGTAGAGGCCTGAAAATGGATAGAGAGCAATATGAACTGAGTAACTTTCAAATAATAATAATTTATTACTTTAGAAAATATCTTTATTAATATAAAAACAGAAATTTTGATATTTTAAGGAAAAAAAGTTCAGTTTTGAAGTTGCTATTTTAATTTAAACCTCATAACTGCTTTTCCAAATATTTTGTAGAATAAATTATTATGACTAAGACTAGATTTAAAAAATGACATGAGAGACACTGATTTTTTCAGGTTTTAACTTTTTATTTCATAATCCAATTTGTTCCTGAAAGATGTTCTACATTTATTAGCTGCCATTAACTTACTCAATGGATATTTTTGTCAGATTATTAAGAGCAACCTTAAATCTGAGCATTAGTGATTCATATTTCAAATATTAGCCAATTTTGAATGTTTTCATGTTAATAATATTAAAATTATTTGATGAACCATTAAAAAGACATGTTTTTGTAACAGTTGTGACATCTTATATTAAATATATAAAATCAGACTTGCTATGGCTTCTTTCAGTATTCAAATAAAACTACTCATGTTATATTAATTCAATAATTATTTATCTTAAAGAAAAAGCCTGTAAATGTTGTATTATATTGCTTTACAGATGCTCCCAAGTTTATATCAAACCAAACCATTTATTACTCTTGGGAAGGAAATCCAATCAATATAAGCTGTGATGTGAAATCTAATCCACCAGCATCAATCCACTGGAGAAGAGATAAATTAATATTACCAGCTAAGAACACCACTAATTTAAAGACATATAGTACAGGAAGAAAGATGATATTGGAGGTAAGTCTTCATATATATCAATGGATTGTATTATTTTAGCAGTTATCTGCTATTTTAGAATCTATTCAGATATCTTTACGTATAAATATACTTTGAAATCCTAGTGTATATATTCTCCTATTTATTTACATAAAGGCAAATGTTACGCATTTTAATTATGGCCCATTAATGAGGAATGTCTCAGTATTTACTTATATGGAAATATGGGTTTATAGCAAAGGCCATTATTTTCATGATTTATTTTTAGATGGAAAAGCAATTATACTAGGAAAAAATAAGAAAATGTAATTAATAATTTGGCAGTGATTGTGGGCCACAAGTTTTATTTTAGTCTTGATGTTACTCATTGATTCTGTGGTTACTCCTTTATTATCCACAGAATGACATATGTAAATGCTATCTGCTGGCTACATATGTACAATTCTGCAGTAATTTCCTAAATAAACCAAATTTACTTGTTCAGTGCCTCATTTCATTTATTTATTTATTTTTATTAAGCTTTTAGATAACTGCTTTTCTTCTTTCAAGGGTCTGAGCTTTAAATAGTGTTTGAATAGAACACTTTTTATTTGTTAATTATAGTTTGTACGTGTGGGTGCATACGCGTGCCTGTGTGAATTGCCAAAGTTTATACAAGTCCTTGGCAATGATTATCAGCCAATCCATCCTTCTATGATTTTACATGGTTAGAAATCTCCCTTACAGAGCCTTCTTTACCTGTAAAGCTGCTACATTTCTGTGCTAATTTAGTTTAAATCGATGAAAAGATATAGGTGTTTTTGATTAATATTTGATATTTATACTGTATTCACTTAACAATGGGCTCAAACATAGACGTGATTGTGAGGATGGTGCAGGACTGGACAGTGTTTCGTTCTGTTGTACACAGGGTCGCTATGAGTCAGAACCGACTCCATGACACCTGACAACAACAACCTGATCTACTACATCTTAAAAACAAAGTAATGGAAAACAACAATAACCAGAGCAATGGAACACTCTGCAATAATATTAGATAGATAGAAGAGAGAAAGAGCTAACTGCCATGGGGTCAACCGCGACGCATGCCAATCGTATGCACATCACAATCACTGTCAAGTTTAAGTCCATCTTTGCAGACGTTATGCCAGTCCTTCTCACTGAGGGTCTCCTTTGCCCTCACTGGCCCTCTGCATCACCAAACATGATGTTCTGTTCTTGAGATTGATCCCTCCTGACGGCGTGTCCAAAGAAAGAAAGTCGGAAGTGTTTTGTGGTGATCCAGAAACGTTTACATTTGCTAATTTTCAGAAATAGTTTTCCAGGTCTTACTTCTTAGTCTTTCTTAGTCTGGAAGCTCCACCATAACTTGTCCACCATGAGTGACCCTGCTGTTATTTAAAATACCAATGACATAGCTTCCAGTATCATAGCAACAAGCGAGCCATTATAGTACGTCAGACTGACAGGTGGTGGCAATAAATATAATTAAATTTGAGTTAGTAGCATACATAGTTGCTTGGGATAATCCATTATTATTATTTATTGTTTAATAATTATAATCCAATGGTCATATAATTGCTAATTAATAACATTTTGTCAATAGATTTCTTAAAGTATCTTATTTTTCCTTTTTCTTTAATATATTCATATATATATATTTAAGATATTAAAATCACAGCTTAAAATATAATAAAATATTCTGTAAAACATTTGGGTTGCTATCAATAAATACATCTGTAGAGGCTATCCAACCATTTTATTTTTTTGAGTACTCCTGAGGAAATAAAAATATTTCCAATACATGGGCAAAAATTGACTGCAGGAAGTTTGTAATAGGTTGACTGGAATGATAGCCCATTCTGTATTGTCTTTATCATTATTCGTGTCCTAAGTAAGGTTTTCTCACCACAGAATGCATAGAAAAAGGAAATCAGTTTTTTTGAAGATTTGCTGTTTTTGTTAGGTGCAGTCGAGTCAGTTCCGACTTGTAGTGACCCAGTGCACAAAGAATGAAACACTGCCCAGCACTGCACCATCCTCACAGTCTTTGCAATGTTTGAGCCTGTTGTTGCAGTCACTGTGTCAATCCATCTCATTGAGGGTCTTCCTCTTTTTCGCTGACCCTCTACCAAGCATGATGTCCTTCTCCAGGGACTGGTCCTTCCTGATCACATGTCCAAAGTATGTGAGATGAAGTTTCACTATCCTTGCTTCTAAGGAGCATTCTGGTTGTACTTCTTCTAAAACAGAAGGTTTAGGAAAAACTAAAGATCTTCTTTATTAACATTGTAATTTTAGCTTACATTTTGCCATTTGAAACTTTATTTGCTAATTTATTATATTCTCTCAAAAGCTAACATTTTAAGTTAAGTTGAAATATTTTAACTGCATATTAACATGTGAAGAAATAGTTTTGTTAAGTAGATACTCTTAGCACTTCCGGGATAAATAATCAGCAATTATTTGTACAGTGTAAACATTTAATTACTTTTTTAACTTGATGTTGTATAATCTACTTTTGTGGTAGAATATCTTATATTCTGATGGAATTATCTAATATTTCATCGTGCTGGGGTTGGGTGTAAAACCACTATCGGACTTTACTTTAGTATCTCTTTCCTAGAATACACAGAATATGCTCCAGGGCACATAATTTGGCCAGGTTATGTCTGGAGCTGTCCTTTTAAAATCTGTGCCATGACTGGGCATTTTCTGTATTTCTTAACCATACAACGTGGTAACAGAATTATGTGTATCAGATACAATTGCAAAGCTTTTATCTATTCATAGCTGAACTTCTAGGCACAGAAAAAATAATGAATTAAGCCTTTTTTCAAACGTCTATATTTAAATTACTTGAATAATCTCTTGGAGCTGGGCGATAGTCACAGTTCTTTGTCATAGCTATCCTGCTTCTGCTGTGTATTGATTCAATAAACTTATTCTTCCCTGTGGAATATAGAAATATCTTTCTCACATGTCTGTAGAATAAGAAAATTATTTTTGTGAAAGCTCTTTTGGACTAGTTAAATTATTTTAGAGCTAAATTAGCCTGGTTTATTAAAAGCAACATGTAAGAAAAATCAATGTTTGAATCACTTTGGAGTACTTATAGAAGAACTGTGAAAACTTCTAATCCTTAAAGCTGGTATGTTCCTGGATGGACAGCTGACTAGAAAATGAATGACACAGCTTTTTGTACTCTTCAGAATTACCATCTTCAATGGACCTCTAAATTGCACTTTCAGTTAATAGCCTCCCATTACCACAAAATCATTTTTTCCCCTTTTGGGATGAGTTGAAATTAACAGTAACTCTTGTTGTAAGCATATTCTCTCTTAATAATAGTTACTGGGTTTGAAAATTACATCTATTACTATCATCAGCTCTCTTCACTGAATTGATACTCCAGGATTTCTGTACATTAAAATTACAGGGTTGGTCCCAGTGTTCAGCAATAGAATCCCCAAAGGTTAACTTAATTATGGATTTCAAATGTTTAAGAACTGAGGTCAGTTATTTCTCACCTAAACCAAAAGGAAATGATAGGAATTGAGCAGAAATGGAGGCCAGATACTATAGGGAATGTTACACAAGGCCAACGTTTTCTTGCAAAAGACCTTCCTGGAAATATTTTTACTGGAATGATTCTTCATTTTTTGTAAGTATTTTATGCTCAGTAGACTCATGATAGGGTAAGAAGTCTGACATTTTTGAGCCTTTCTTGACCTTTAAATCAGTCTGGTCTGAGGCTAAAACATACAACACAAAGAGTTAGCAATGCTTTTGGAACATACTTACTGTTTTCAAGTTCAAGTCTGCAGTAAATTGCCATTTATTCTTTTCAAACTGTATACTACTATCTGAGCTTTACCCATATCCCTGTCAATTGACTCTGCCATTCCAATAGATGCAACAAAATGGTGACATTTATCCACTTAATAAATTAATATATGAACTAAGATTCATCTTCCCTATGGATAGTGCAGATCCATGGTTTACATCTTAAAAGGATTAATGTCATTTATTAAGGTTGAATGGATATAGAAAAAAGGAGTTATTGGCAAGGAGCATGGAATGAATTAGTGAACATGTGTGCATATGGTAGGCATACTGGTCTATTTTAAAATTTCAGTGATGTTGTTTTAGTATTGTAATACCTTTATTAATATAATTATTTTAGATTGCACCTGCGTCTGACAATGACTTTGGACGATATAACTGCACAGCCACGAACCATATAGGAACCAGATTTCAAGAATATATTCTTGCTTTGGCTGGTAAGTATAGCATGATAATGGTAATTTTTGAGATCTCAGAAAATATTACTGCAAGCAAATTAAATTTTAAATTGATCAAATGCTAGCATCTGATTTTAAACCTTTTAGAAAAAAATAATAGCCTTTATATTTTAATGTCATCATACAAGTTATTATTGAATGAATGAACCATTACTTATAAAACATAGAATAGTTGTATCTGACATATAGACTACCCTTAGAATGCATTATTAATAAAATTTTATTTTAAACCTTATTCTAATTTCCCTAACATTGTAAGTGAGTTATTTCTGACAGAAATAGGAGAACATACAATTTAGGAAATAAAATTATATTTCAAGTAGAGTAAGAACCTTGCCAAAAAATTAACAAGTACCCTGAAAGAAAATAAATGATAATTAATCTATTTTAAAATTCTGTACATGAAAGTATGAATTGAAAAATAAGAAATGGTCTTAAAGTACCATCCCATGAAATAATTATTGATAAATGGAAAAAATAGCAACTTTATACTTTACAGTCAATAAGCCCAGAAGACACCACTTTAGTCAAGTGATCAAAGTTAACATCATCAGTAATGGAAAATTAAACTCAAGTACTACCAGAAAGAGGCAATGAGACAAACACAAAATTACTACTGTAATATTCCTACTGAAAATGCACAGACTGAATTTAAGCATGAGGAAATAAAAGACGGATCATAACTGAAGTACTTTCCACAAAGTAGCCTTTAAAAATGTCAAAGCCACGAAAACCAACGAATGTTTAAGGAAACATTTCCAGACTAAAGGATACAAAAGAGACATAAAAAATGGCACGTGTGATTCTGAACTTAGCTTTTTGGTATAAAGGACATCGTTGCGCTAAGTGGTATAATTTGACTATGGTCTGTTGATTAGATGATACGTTAATGGTCGTAGAGAGCTTTGTAGAGTCCCTGGGTGGTGCAAAGTGTTAACGCCCTAGGCTGCTAACTGAAATATTGGAGGTATGAGTCCACCCAGAGATGCCTTGGAAAAAATGCCTGGCAATCTACTTCTGAAAAGTCAGCCACTGAAAACCCTGTGGAGTATAGTTCTACTCTGACACAATGGGGTGACCATGAGTCCCAGTCGATTCAAGGGCAACTGGTTTTTATAGAACTTTGTAGGCAAATGTTTTGTTTGTAGTAAATACACGCTAGAGTTGGTATCGTGTCAACTCACTATAAATGGTTAAGATAAAAAAGAAAGTTATGTATACTATTCTTGCAAATTTTCTCTAAATTTGGAATTCTAAAATAAGATGAATAAAAATGAAGGGAAGAACAGCCAGTAAGCAAATATACGTAACATAGAGCAGCTTTAGAAAAACAAAATGACTTGTGAAAATCAGCAGCATTTTTGATAAACATGATCCACATTTTGGGGTTTTCATTATTAAATTGTCATTTATTCACATTCAGTCAACTACTCTTCTCAAATATGTACATGTACATTTTTATTTTAAAATATAGCAATTTATTTAGACTTCTCTTTTAAGTTTCTTAGTAAGTATGAAGATCACATTTTCCTTAAGGATAGAGATAACAGTCCTTTTTCAGTAACAGTATAATAATAACAGTATATGAAAATAAGACATACAGACAATACATGTAGTCATGAGCTGGATATTTCACTTCCATGCCCCTCTCTCCCTTTTACCCTTAGTTCTGCTGGAAAATAGTAGATTGATGAAGTTATAGTAAGAAAACAGATAAGAATGATTAGCTAAACTGAATCGAGTAGTCATCATTATAATAACTGTGTTGTTGTGTGCCATGAAGTCTATTCTGACTCATACCTAACCTATAGAGCAGAGTAGAAATGCTGCGTAGGGTTTCCTAGGCTGTAATCTTTACAGGAGCAGATCACCAGGCTTTTTCTTCTGTGGTGCTACTGGTGGCTTCGAACTGCCAACCTTTTAGTCAGCCGCTGAGAGCTTAACCATTGCACGACCAGGGCTCCTTCATAATACCTGTAGCTAGCATTTATTTAGTTCCTACTATGCCAGGTACTGTGCAAACAATCTACATCGATTATTTACTTCTCTTACTAGATCAATGAAATGCATGATATATTATTTATATTATACAGAAGGAGGGGAGGATCACAGATTAGGAAACAGAATATATAAATGCAGTTTGTTATTATTGCTATTGGGGCCCTGGTGGTACAGTAGTTAAGCGTTTGACTGCTAACCAAAAGGCCGGCAGCTTGAATCCACCAGCCACTTTTTGGAAACCCTTTGAGGCAGTTCTTCTCTGTCCTTTAGGGTTGCTATGAGTCAGAATCGATTTGACGGCAATGGATTTTATTATTACTGTTATTATTATGATTTAAACAATCAGATACAATGAAAAATGCCTGGATCACAGTACTTCTATGAGCAAAGAATCAGACTGAGGTCAGCTTCCCACTTTGTTACACCATTTCTTACATGTGATCTTAAAAGTTCCAATCCGTTCCTGTTTTTACTCCATTTTTTTACATTGTTTAACCAGTACTGAGAAGTGAGCCACTGAATTCTGTGAGGAACTAAAAAGTGTATATTTCTTGAATGATATTTTAGAAACATAAAATATATTTAACTTTGCCTGGATTAAATCAGAAAAGTCCTGAACAAGATCTTTCTTTTAAATACTAGTCTCATATTCATGAGCAAGAATTAGCCCAGTTATCTTGACCTATTTCCCGTCTTTACAAAATTGAAATAGGTAGTTTATTTATATAATTTAGATGGAAAACATGAGATATTTCATATATGTGCCTGATAATTAATTTTGTTATAGTAACTTCTTAACAAAAATCAACTAGAAATACAACTTTATATATATATATAATATACCAACATTTACCATTCATTGTGACTTAGGATTTTTGTCCAGTAAGGAAACTGATATGATTGATAACCTATATATATGAATAAATTTTTTTTTAAAACTCCATCAATAATTTTTTTCCATAGTCTTGCTTTCTACTAGGAGGCATACTTTATTTTTCAGTTTAAATGTTTACATACATATCATAGAGCAAATATATATATGTAGGACATGTAATGGTAAATAAAATTGTAACTACATAGTATTCCTTCTTTACAGTTTTCTAGCTCCAAAAGATCATGATTTTGCAAGGCATTCTGTACATGTGTAATTTTTGTTTGTTTCTTCTCTAAAGAGACTTTTTCTCTTTTAAACACATTATTATAAAAAAAATTCATTCGTATTTTTCATAACTTTCTTTATCCATTGCAGCATTATTACATTTAACTTTTACCTGTAGACTTTTCATATTAAACCCTAGGAAGGTGATAGCACTTTTGCTTCATCAGTTGGCACACTTTTCTGATGGGTGTCTTTTCCTGGGCAATTTTGGGGGTGGGGCTTGGCTGTAAGCTGTCAGCAGACCACACTTCCAGCATGGGGGAATGAGTACCTCCATGCTGAAGGGGGTTTCTTGGCAGTACTTCGCAGCAGCCTCTCCAAGTACTTACCTGATAAGACTGTTGTGAGACCAAGTGAGGTAATGCACTTAAAGCACCTTCACATGGTACGTGCTCAACAGATGTTAGCTATTATTATAGCCAAATTATAATGAATATTGGTCACTTATCTTTGGGTACAAGTCTGTTTGTAAATGTCTCTTTAGTTATAATACATAGATCCAGATATCATAAACCAGTGAATAGTAAAGTGGAATGATGACCTAACTTGTTTTGGACACTGTATTTCTATTAAATAATATAAATTTTCATTGGATTTTGGCACTTTTTCCTTCTAGTGGCTTGTCCCTACACCCGTTTCACACAAACTGCCACTAAAGAGGGTCTTCCATACTGTGCTTCCCATTGATTTGTTTAACCTCAGTTCAAAACTCTAAACTTACCCTTACTAAATTGTATCTTGTTACTTTTGGCTCATCTTTTTAACCTACTGAGACATTGTCAAATCCAATGTTTTAGCTTTATTTCCAGTATTGATTTAATTCACAAATATCATGAAATGGCCATCTCTATTTTCACCCAAGTCATGGATAAACTTGTACCTGTCTTTTTCAAGAACAGAGACATCCTTATAGGTTAAGCTGGGTTGATTTAATGGAACTCTATCAATAACAGAATTATAATCAATCTACTTGACCTTGCACCTAGGCTGTATTTTATCCAGATCTACGTCCCATAAAACTTGAAAGCAGGTTAAAATAGGTTCAGTTGAAAACATGTGTTTTTCTACTGAATATAAAGCCAGATTTCTCTTACGTGATTGGTTTGATGATATCTCTTGAAAAGAGTCTACATCTTGCTCATCTTCAGTCACGAGGCAAACTTTGGTGAGTCTTAATGATATTTAGAAACTGTTCATGGCATCCTTTTGATTTTCTCATGCATACACTCCCAAGCATAAAAGAAATTAGAACACTTGGACGTAATTTATTTTTAGAGAACCTATGCTTGCATTATTTCTTAATAACTTGTTATTTCCCTCCCTTACCAAACATATAGTGATCCCATAGTAGATGCCAGGTACAGTTCTAGATCTTGGGAGCCTGAAGATGAATAACATATGACACTGATCTTTATGAATAGGGTATAAAAGATAAGGGTTGCAATAGGAGTATGAAGGCATGAATCAAATTCTTTAGAATCACAAAATAGAATTCTCAGTGGAGTTCTTAAAGGTTTCAAAGAGGGGGCAACTTTTGAGTTAGGTCTGAAAGGGTGAGTTGAAACACGCCCAGTGAAGAAGAAAGGGAAAGAGTGAAAGATGAAGGTGGAACATGTACAAAGGCACTGTCATGTGAAAAGACGTGGACTTCTGGGAAACGAGAAAGCATTATAATGGAAGACAGGGGTGGTGTATTATCTGTGGGGATCAGTGGTGGCGAGGTGAAAAGAGGTCGTAAGAAATGAAATTGTGCATTTCCTTGAAAATATGCATGGTGCTTACATCCTATCTGGAATACATCAAGAAAAGTTTGAGTTTT